ATTCAATTAAAAACAAACAAACAAACAAACCTGGGTCCTTAGTTATCTGGTGGGAGAAATCCTAGATTTGATGGTAAATCCTTCGCCTGTAATTCACTAGCAGTGTGACACTGAAAAAATTTTTAGCCTCTCCAAGTAAGTAGGTATTTTATTACTAAAATATGGATAGTAACACCTACCTCATAACGTATCTTTAAAAGAAGGTAATATAAAAAGATATGAAATAATTTTTTAAATAATTTTAACAACTCTGGAAGGCAAATGAAATTTTTACTTTATAGGGCGGAAAACAGGCTCAAAGGAGCCGAGTGATTCACCCGAGGCCAGATAGGCGATAATGGGAGAGGCCAGCCATGAATCACATCTGACTCCAAGCACTTGCATATCCTTTTTTCCGCGGCAGAGATAAATTCCATGTCCCCTGCCGCCATCTCTGACAGGCTCTCGCCAGTGGAAAGGTTTTCTAGTAATGATTTTTTTCTATCTCCGCTGACTTCAGGGCTTGCCCTGCTCAGTCTCTGGAGTTAACTAACTAGGCCAACAGTGGTTGGTATTTGCTTTCCTGGCAAGAAAAATGTCACCAAAGCATCTGTGAGTCTGAAATGGAGATAATAAGATTTGGAAGCCTCATACCTGCATTTGACACTCCACTGGAAAAAGGCAGAGGCGTAGGCTGGACCCACAAGGCTCTCTCTGTGGGTTTGAACCTCTGCTATTCCTATCATGACTGACTCCTTCCACAGAGGATTTTAACCATTCAGACCTAGTCTTCACTCAATTTAGTTGCACCTGGGGCAGCCACAGAAGTCTGTGTGTGACCCAGCACAGAGCATGGCTTAATATAGCATATGGAGCGCTGACCCCTGTGACTTGTCCACTCAGTGCCTTCACGGGGTGTGCAGAAGCCAGTGCCTTCAGGCTATGTGTACGACAGTGATTTTCAAGAAGGCACTAAAAGGTTAACCATCATATCAACCATCTAAATCCCTTTCTGCCAGGGACTACTTCCCTCCTCCCCCCATCAACCAGAACCTCAAAGGCAAAAGTGGAGGGTGAAGGAAGGAGGAGAGTCATTGAGAAGGTGGCACAAGTTAAGGCTGGCAGACTTTAATATTTCAGTAGAACCAGGTTTCATTTCCAGTTCAATTAGTTCCATCCATTAATATCCTGTTTGGTGTGCTCATCGGTCTGATACGCTGATTAATTAAGTAGCAGGGCTAATTGATTTTATTGGATCACTCAGGATGGAAATTTCCCATGAGCCTGTCTCTATCAATTCAATTTCAATATATAATGGTATTAACTAGTTCATGAGCACTTACTATTTGCCTGGTTCCCCCCCCCCCCATGTTTTCTGCTCATTTTAGAAATTCAGGTATTACTTCCTTAAGGAAAGTTTGAGACAAACCATTCATTACCCCAAAAAAAAGGTTCACTAATGATAAGAGTAGATAAATGTAGTTCAGAAACACTTTTGTCTGTCAGCTCCACAACACTCCTTCTAAATTCAGCTTCTGATGTTGTGGGTGGGATTCTCTAGATCTATTTCTCCTTGTCTAACCAAAAGGTCAGCAGTTCAAACTGCCCAGTGCTTCCACAGGGGAAAGATATGACAGTTCATGCGCATGACTTCTGAGACTTGAAAACCCTGTGGGCAGTTCTTCTTCGTCCTACAGGGTCACTTTGAGTTGGATCAGCTGGAGGTCTGTGAGGTTTTGCTTTATATGATGCCTGATATGCATGTGGAAGTTGGACAATGAATCAGAAAGACTGGAGACTCACAGCATGGTAAAGAATATGGAATTAGACTGCCAAAAGAACAAACAGAACTGTCTTGAAAGAAGTGCCAGGATGCTCTTTAGAAACAAGAATGGTAAAAGCTGCACTGCAATCCCAGAGGTGTGTGGTTCAAATCCACCAGATGCTCTGCTGGAGAAGGAGGAGCAATCTCCTCCTGTACCAGTCAAATCCAATTTGATGGCACACACACACACACATATAAAATACAATATTAAAAAAAGAAATAAAGAAACAAGAATGGTGATATTGGTTCACACATCTTGGGCAGGCTTTCAGCAGGAGCTGGTCCCTGGAGAAAGACATCATGTTTGGAAAAGTAGAGAGTCAGAAAAGGAGGAAGATCCTTGATGGGAGGGACTGACCCCATGGGGGCGGCGCTGGGGAGGGTAGTGCAGGGGCGGGCAGGGTTTCACTCTGTTGTACATCAGGTTGCTTGGAAGCAAAATGGACTCAGCAGCAACCACCACCACCACCACCACCACTTATTAGGCATGGCTAGTGGAAGGATGTTAGAGGGGCATGTGAGCTGTAGGTGGAAGGATGGACTTCGTCCCTACTTTTCCTGTCAGGGTCACCCCAACTAGCAGCAGCAGCAGCTGATTTCATTTCCAGCTTTCTCTCATACTACTGGACGAGACTCAGGAGAGCTCCTGAGAAATGTTAGCACTCACAGGAGAGTGCCGTCCTTACGCAGGGGCTCCCGGTACTCAGGCCCTCCTGCGAGTTAGGCCAGGAAAGACTCACTGTCTTCTGTCAAGCCCTGTGCTTCTCGTTCACCTATTCTGTCCAATAACTGCTATACCAACATCTTGCATTAAATTATAATTCTCAGTAGGTTCTATTTTTCTGACTGGAACCTAATCCAACATGCTCAAAAACTAGAACTCCATTTATAATAGTGATTAAAAGATATTAATCACAGCTGAGTTGAAAGCTCAATTCTGCTAGCTTGTATTTAGTAGTTCTGGATTTAGCTTGTATTTCGTAGTTCTCACCTCTCTTAGGTCTCATTTTCCTCAATCACTGTCACTTGTCCAGTTAACATTTCTTACTCACTGTTGTTGAGAACCAAGTAATAGCTGATTTTTCAGTGGGTTTTGGAGGTTGTAAATCTCACAAGAGGCAACTGCTCACCTTTCTCCTATGGAGCCGCTGGATTTGAACCACCAGAGAGGCTAGGAATTCAACTGCCTATGGATTATGATGGTGCTTATGTGAAACCTATACTTGGACCAAGAGGCAGTCGTCAGTACAGAGCAAGGAGACACTACATGTTTCAAAATTGTGAATAGTGTCCACCAGGGATGTAGCCTGTCTCCATACCTTTTCAATCTATTTGCAGAACAGATCATCTGGGAGACTGGGCTGTATGAGGAGGAATGAGGCATCCAGAATTGGAGGAAGACTCATCAACAACCTGTGTTATGCAGATGACACAACCCTGCTTGCTGAAACTGAGGAGGACTTGAAGTGTTAGCTGCAGAAGGTCAAGGACTGCAGCCTTCAATATGGATTGAAGCTCAACATCAAGAAAACAAAGATTCTCATACTGGGCCCAGTGGCAGCATTATGATAGAGGGTGAGGAGATTGAGACTGTTAACAGCTTTAGTTTGGTTGGCTCCACAATCAACACTCTTGGTACCAGTAGCCAAGATATCAAGAAACAAACTGTATTGGTAAAGTCAGCTGTCACGGTCCTCTCCAGAGTACTAAAGTGTAACAACATCAGTCTGGAGACTAAGGTGACCTGATATAAGGCCATAGTCTTTGCAATTGCTTGCTATGCATCAGAGAACTGGACAATAACAAGGGATGATAGAAAGAGAACTTATGCCTTTGAGCTATGGTGCTGGAGAAGATACAATGGACTGTTAAGAGAATGAACAGGTTTGTCCTAGAGAGGGTGAAACCAGGCTGCTCCTTAGAGGCAAGGATTCTGAGGCTTCGTCTGACATACTTTGGGCATGTTGCAAACAGGGACCAATCCTTGAAAAGGAAGGGTGGAGGGACAGTGAAAGAGAGGAGATGAGATGGATTGATTCAGTGACTGGGGTAATGAGAGTAGGTGTGTCAGAAGCAGTAAATTTGGCACAGGAGAGAGCATGTTTCAGGGCTATGAGTGGCAAGTGACTCATCAGCACATAATAACAACAACAATGGGCTATGATATCAGAGCTCCCTAACATGTACTGAGATGCTTCTAAATGCCAGGCCTTCTGATCAGCAACTCTATGAACAGTATACAAACAATTCAGTTCCCTGAGCTACATGGGCTGACTGCTATGCAAATTCAGTGGCATATGGACTATGAGGGAGTTACTAACCTGTCCAGCTTGTCAGCGGCCCCCTGTCTACACCATGACAGCAAAATATAGATGAATGGCTATTAAAGAAAAAAGTGTTTCAACAGTTAGGGTGCTTGAGGCGAGGTCTGGTGGCCTAGTTGCAAGAAGTTGCATGGCAATCCCAGAGGTGCACGGTTTGAATCCACCAGATGCTCTGCTGGAGAAGGAGGAACAATCTCCTCCTGTACCAGTCAGATCTGATTTGACTGTCCACACAAAAGAATAATAATATTAAAAAAAAATGGGTGCTTCAAAAATGAGACTTCTTTTAAATCCCCCCGCCAAGAAGGTCAAAGTCTTAGTTGCCCCACTCCAAGTATTTACTGTTTAACCCAGAAGCAACGGCTTTTGCTGTAGCATTTTTTTCGAAATGAAGTGGGACAAACTGGCCCTACAGAGGGAACACTACAAGGTTGCAATTTTTAGAAATTTCGAGAAAACTGTTAAGTGTGACACTGAGCTAAGAACAATAGGAGCTGCAAATCAGGGTAGGAGGCAGTGAACATGGGAGAAGCTGCTCCTCCAGCATCAGTCATGAGCAACTATTTGTCCTAAGGAAGATATACGCTGTGTATGTACACATGAGGACATACGTACATACACCCACGTGCAGCCATGGAACCCATGAGGGCCAGAACCCAACAGGACCGCCTTGTTTCCCAGTGTCTCTCCAGTGTTGCAATTTCCCATTTTTTTTATTGCTCTCTATTAAGAATCCTACCTCATGAATACACAGAAAGTGTCTCTCTTTTATTTTACAGGTCTGGAAAAGACACTAAGCCATTATTAATGATTTGCATGTTTATTCAAATTATTTACAGATTATGTGTATATACTATTCAAATGGGTCAAGTTCACTTTTTAATAAAAACATCTAATGTCAATTTTTTAGTTTGTTTCGATTTTTGGATGAAATTATTGAAACAAATTTCCAACTCCTTAGCCTTATAAAAGAACTCCTGGTCTCCTTTAACTTTTCCAAAATCCTTCAAAGCCTTTATATAGTTGAAAACTTGTGTCTGACTTAAAGGTTCAGGCTCTTCTGGTGGCAAGTCTTCATCGTCTTCATCATCCTCATCTTTAGACTGTAAGTCCACAATATCTTGCAGGTTCATGTCCTCCATTTCGGTGGCAGCATCTTTGTCAATATCAATGTAACATGCAGCACTGACCCTGTGTTCTGAAACATCACTGTAAATGTCGTTTATTGCATCCTGAAGCTGCCTGATGTTATCGGGTTCAAGAACTGTTTCATTTTGTACACTATCACCACTGCCAAATAAGAAGCCACAGTTCTTAAAGCATTTTCTTACCGTTTCTTCCTTAATCATTTTGATTGATCGCTTAAGAAATGAAATTGCATCTAGGATATCGATTTTCCCCCAAGTCTCCGATGCCATCTTGCACATCTCAATGCCAGCAATCACCTTCTGAAGCAAGAGCTTCCTGTAGTTTACTTTAATGTTTTGGATAATGCCATTATCCAATGGTTGTAGGACTACTGTTGTGGACGGTGGGAAAAAAATTAACTTAATATTGGACAGGGGCAATGACCGATGGCAGCTAGCATTGTCAACAAACAACAGAATGCTTCGATTTTGCTTCTTCATGTTATTGTTGAGTTTATTTAAAAACTCTTCATAAATTGCTCCCGTCATCCAGGCTTTTTTATTCCATTTCCACTCTACTGAGAGCTGACTAATCTCAATATTCCTGAAGCATTGTGGCTTCTCGCTCTTTCCGATTATCCACGGTTTCTCAAATGTCCCATCTGCAAACGTGGTCAGGAGGACAGTAAGCCGCTCTTTGGAAAACCGGCCCCGTGAGCACTCTTCCCCCTTCATTTTCAGGGTCCTGTGAGGCATCGCCCTGTAAAACAGAGCAGTCTCGTCAGCATTTGCAATGTCTTTAGGATCGTATCCCCTTATGATCTCTTTCAATTTTGTGAACCAACTCTGAATATCTTTCTCAAACTCATTTGACTGCTCACAAGCTACGCTGGAAGTGATTCCATGCTTCTTTTTGAAGCTCTGAAGCCACCCGTTAGAGGCTGAGAATCCATCTACTTTTAAAAACTTTGCCATTTCCTTTGCCTTTGCTTGCAGGATTGGCCCTGAAATGGGAATGTTTCTGGCAGATGCTTGAAGAAACCACTCAAAAACTGATCTGTTGATTTCAGCATAATTTCCATCCCTCTCTTTTTTGACATTGACATTTGTGCTGCTCATGTATTTTTCAATGATTTTCTCTTTTTCTTTCATGATTGTGTAAATTTGTGTTTTGCCACACTTGAACTTAACCACAGCTTCTTTGACGGTCTTTTTCTCTTCAGTTATCATTTTGACAACGTCAAACTTTTCTTGCAGAGATAAATTTCTTACTCTCTTTTCCATGGCTGTGAAAGAATAAGGTTGTTTTTTTTAAAAAAAAATATGAATACAAAAAGGGGCATAAGTTCTTATAAAAATTAAAGAACGCTTATGATCTTTCCTTTTTGAAATGTTGAGGCTCTCACACAAAAGGAAAGCTATCAACCTCATTACAGAATGAAGTTAAAGTAATATATTTAAGGAATAAAAACCTGTAAGAGCTATTTTAATTTTTATTTTATTTTATTAATTTGTGTGTGTACCGTCAAATCAGATCTGACTGGTATAGGAGGAGACTGTCTCTCCTTCTCCAGCAGAGCATCTGGTGGATTAGAACCACACGTCTCTGTTCCAGCAGTGCAGCTTCTTGTCACTTGGCCATCAATTTTAATTTTGTACACAGACTAAATGTTTTAAGTGAGAAAAAAGCTTCTCCATTTGGGTGGTTAAACAAAAAAATCTGAAGGTAAGAATTTCAAGGAAATGAAGTTGTAGATTTTTTAAACTGTAGTAATATCATAAACATTGCAAATAGTTACAATGAAAATTGAAAACATAAAGCCTCCCAAGGCAAGTGGGGCAGGGGGGAAAGGTATGTTTTACTAGTTTTAACGAAAATAAAAAAATTATCACAGGCAAACCTGTACGAGCTAGAACTTGACAGGACTACATTGTTTTTCTGGATATCGCCACTTTTCTGCCTTTGACAAAGTGCAGTCTTACCACTTTTCTACATTCATTTTAGTGGAAGATATTTGAGTTTTCCAACTCTGACAAGTTTCTGCCTTACAAAAAAGGATTCCGACTTCTGTGGGTTTCACTGTCGTATCTCTACCTTCCAAACTAATGGACATTATTCTTCACCGGAAAAACTTCTACAGGCAAAAATATAAAGGACAGTCACATTCAGAGAATCACTGCGATGCACGATGTACATTCACACACAGTAACAATGCATAAAGAAGTGGAAAATGGCACTTTCAGCTCTGTCTTTGCACTTCTTGAAACTATTTCCTGCTTTCGCATTTGTACTTCCTGGTATTCACAGTGCACTATCAATGGATTTCTGATTCCATCCATCTCTCATAAATTTCAGCTTTCAGAGAATATTTATAAGGTCTGAAGTAATCATTTTAGTGGAAAACATTTGCATTTTACTTCTCTGACAAGTTTCCACCTTACACAGGCACTGGCTTTTGCAGATAAATATGTCCGCTTATGTAAGAGTGTGTATGTTTGTGTGTGTATGTGTGTGTGCAATCTCTAATGAATTTAGTGCATGCTTTCTGCAGAAAAATACATTCTTAGAGAGACGAAAGAAGCATTCATATAGAAAATGATCCCGATTCTATCAACTCCTGAATTTGCTATGGGCAAGGAAAGCTAGAAAGAATTTCCGTCTAAACACTATAGTAAGTTCCATCCTTGGTGGTTGGCTGGGCAGACACTGAGCATGTGTGGCAGAATGGCCAACATTCTCATGAGCAAGGGTGTATTTCTGCAAGACTGTAGCTAATTCTCCAAAACCATTTCTACAAATGCAAGCTAAATCCTTCATGCTGCTTTTTATTCATTTTGACATCACCATGACCTTCATAACTCACAGTGAAGGAAAATCACTACGGGAAATTATCATTAGAAGGGTTATCCCACATCCTTGCTCTAGGGCCTTGTTACCATTTCCTCTCACTGGAGGAATTTTGCATTCCACAGGCATGAAAAGCCTAAAGAGAGTTTATTCATAAATAAATGCCAACACTTCAACAATCAAGACAGCGCCAACCTCCAGGACTACTGAAATGAACAGTATATATTGCCTGGATGGTTAATTATGATTGTGTGTACCAAACGGGGAGGTAATTAATTTCCACTTCATGAGTCCTTCTATGACCAAGTCCATGAAAGAGACTTTGGAAAAGTGGTGATGTTTCTCAGTTTTTTCATGTGAAACAAATTATTATTTCCACATTTAGGACATCACTCAGGTAATTCCTTTCATGACTTGTGAGCAATTAAATAACTAGTTATGAATGACTGAAGAAGGGACAAAGGCAAACTCAAGATGACCCAGGAACACTGAAGAGCCTCTGAGAGCCCCGATGCCTCAGACAGAAGGCAAATGTGATCCCTCTGCTTGAGAAAATGCAAATGAGCAGTAAGCATGCATCACAGCAAGAGCATCATTTCCCAGGAGAGGCAACTTGCTAAATATAGACTTCACCTCCCAATAACCCTTCTCAATGGAGGCATGAGCAGAAAAGGACCTCCCAGGGAGATGCAGAAACATCACTCAGCAAAATGTCTTCACTGTGGCGGATATCAGTGTTCTCCCCCATACCCTGGTCACACATTCAGGTCAATCAGGGAGTACAAAAGTCTGTTTGTAATTCGCTGTTTGGTTTGTGAGATTACTCGTCAGAGCTGATGAGCACAGAGGGACCCTGGCCCCTCAGGTCAGCCCCCGACCCTGGGCTTACGTACCATCCAGGCCATTGTGGTGACTGTAGTTTCTTTTCCCCAGAATGCTCAGGGCCATGTGATTCGGGGTGGTAAGCATTCGCTTGGTAGTTGGGGTTTGCAGGCTTGGTGTAGATCGAATTACATTAGGTTTTTTCGCAGGATGAATCTCTAATGGGGGAAGAAAGATTTTTTTAACTCAGAGCACATTATTTAAAAGAGAAAAAAATCTTTGTGTGTACTTACATTTGCTAATATACACAGTCTTATTTCTTAATGAGCTGAATCAATTCCTTATGAGCTGACATGTTTTCTCAAGGCCTTGCATAATGAATCAGCTTGGAGTGGTGTTACCATGGTTTTACTTATCAAAAATGAGCTAGTTCTCCTGCTGCCTCAAGCCTGGAGTGTCTTGTACTGAGTACAAGTTAAAAAAGTACCTTCAGAAAGTCACTTACAACGTGAGTTTAAATAAGGCATTAAGGGATGTAACTCTTCATGGTATTAGAAATCAAAACATTATCTGGAAAGGTAGCCTCAGAAAAAAACCACCAACATGCAACGTGTGCAAGTTTTCTAAAAAACAGGATTTCTTCTCTGGCTCTGCAGCCAGGGTAGAGACCAGGGTGAATCACTCTCAATTCATAAATTCTGCTATAGACAAAACCCAAAACTGAAGTTCAAAGGCAATAGTTAGAGGTAACAGCAGAAAAGGTTGGATGCATCACAAAAATGTAACATTCTATAGGCATGGGTTTAAGAGAAGGCTATTACTATCAGGTGTATAACCCAAGAACTACCTACACCTATTGGATAAAGAAGACAAAATCTTAATACTGTAAGAACTGGATGTATTTAAGCTCCCCAGAGGTAGCGAGCTGCCTGGTTAACATACTAGCTAGACTTCTCCAGTGGCTTGATTCTACCAGTGACTCATATGGAAAAAGACGGGCCATCTTATCCCACTCAGAATATAGGCTTGGAAATGTGACAGAAGGTTGTGTGAGGTGGTAGCAATCAGGTGCCAGTGAAGGGAGCTATGACCTTGAACAAATTCTTCTCCAAAGCTTACCCCACTCGCCGTTTCTCAGCATCGTCACCCACGACCCAACTGAGGGCAGGCCTCCTCGTCTGTCTCCTTACCCTCCAGCCCAAGCAAGGTGAAGCCAGGGCAGCAGCCCAGTTTGGTTATACTCTGGGTAAAAGTTTTAGGTCTCCATCATAATCTGGTCAAAATCCTTTGCTGGTCAACACTTAGAAATGACTCAAGTATGACATGCTCACAAAAGTCCTGGTTTATTTAACATGGTATGAAATGTTTCCAAAATTATCCTTCACTACGACCTTCACATGCCAGGCTCCAGCCAAATCAGACAACCTGTGTGAGCTTTGTCAGGTCCATGGAGTTGCCAGAGGCTTTGTTCACTGGACACCCTTACTCATCTGTAGGAAGAAAAGACCCTTTTCCTACTTCTCCATCTATTCAAATGATCATCTTTCAGGACTGAGCTTAAATATTACTCTCTTTGGGTAAGCTTGCCAACTGCACTCATCAGAAGTAACTAACTATTCCTTACTCTATGTGCCCAGTGTATATCTATTCTTACAGGGGATTTAAAATGTCCTTGTAATCCTTACATAGGCTCTCCCTATTGACACTGTAAGATATGTAAGGGCCAGGTTCAGAATACAATGTCTTGCACACAGCAAATACTTGGGTGTGCGGTGTATGGGTGTGGTCCTGCTAGTAAGAAGGGCACAGCACTGGCCTTCCTAGCTGATGACCAGATGAATATCAGATTACAAATCTGCTGAGAGCAGATTAAATTCCTCACAGAAAGAGCAGGTAATTACTCATGGAAAGGCTGACTAACATGCAGTGTTATATTCTATCTTTTCATGATCAAAACCTTTCCTTTCATATTGGGAAGGTGCTACTAGGATAACATCCTGGAAGGGAATAGACAACAATCCTTAAGGATTTTACCACCATGACCTATAGAATACCTAGAATAATCCTCTAAGAATATTTAGCCTTTCATAATTGGTGATTACAATAAATTACTTTTATTTTCCTGTTCGTTTAAGCTGTATTTATTTTCATAAATACGCATTATATACACTTTCTAGTTCTATAATTTTAGGTGAAAAAGTAAACGTACCTAAGAGTTTGTATGTATGAGTGTGTGTTAATAAAACTAAGTTTCCAAACCAAACTGGAATATAATTGTAGCTAACCAAAAGACTTGGGTTTAGTTTAAGCATGTCCATTCAGGTGGTCAAATGCCCACAGCATACAGCAATACAGTTGTTGCCTTTTTAGAAAGTACCTACCTAAATATCCAATGATACATGCCAAAGGCTTCCTGGTGCTTTTGCTTTTTAGTGGATTTCCAGATAGTTCAGCATGTCTGTCTGCATCTGAGGAGAGAAAGAAATATGAAGACAAGCAATGAGGCTGATTTTTCTACCTCTACTATATACACTGCAGAAATAAAAGGTACAAGTGGAAAACGATGCAAAATATCTGCTCGATTCATCCTTTCCCTTTGGGTTTTGCTATTTCTGGTTCCAAATTGCTCAAGGAGTGCTTTACCTGGAAAAGCCCAATTTTAAAGCCCTCATGTGGGTAGGTAATATATAACTGACATGCATATATTTTCTTTTACTGTGCATGCCCATCTGAAAAGCAGTGGAAATGTTTCTTTTTAGTCACTGAATTTCTACATAGTGGCACATTTTCCATGAACGTTAAGTGGAATCTGTCCTAGTTAAAGACGGTTCCAACAAAGGCAACACACTTGTCCAGCACTGACCTAGGTGGCAGGTCACCGAGGAGAAGTCTCAGCTCATCTTGGTAAGACTCCATTTCATTAGATTCAAGCCTCACAAAAGATATAAGGGGCCTTTTGGTTTTATCATTTGACTTCTAGCCTCATATACTATTATGATATCATTAATGTTGAGATCTAAATGGTTACCTGTTTCCAGGCAGTTTTTAATCCATTGGTCAGAATAGGAAGATTCTGTGAGGATGGATATTAGCTCATAAAAGTTGTCATCACGCTGCCCACACATGATCATTAGATATCTCAGGAGAAACTTAAGTGCACAAAACAAATACTCTTTGCGCTTGGATAGAACACAATGGATGTGGAACACAGCTACCTCTCATATCGAGGCTACATTCAAAGAATAGTTTGCAGGGATAAACAAAATTGTGATTGCTTAAGATTTGCAGATATTGCCATAAGGCTTGTAACTTTAGCAGGCATGATGCTACTACACTTATGCCTTTTCCCCACCTTCATATATTGGACAGAAATGCCTACAAGTTTTCATCCTACCAGAGGAGACTCCTAGGCACTCAATTTCTCCCTCTGCTGGTTGAAATCATGTGTCTAAGCACACAAAGAGCTTTCCTAGGTTTTCTCTGAGCTTTGAATAGAACCTCAGATAAAATAAAGCTTTTTTAACGAGTCTTAGCCACTCTTTTACAGAACTCTTTTTAATAATTATTAAAGAGTAGGTAGGCATATTAGTGTTTTTTAAAAAATATATAGTGTGGAGAGCCTCAAATAACAGTAATGTGAACATGTACATGTTAGTTATTATGCAACCATCAATGGGTATAAGTTATTACATTGCTTTCCCTCCCATTCAGCTGATAATACTTTCTCTTTGCTGATATCTTTATCTTTGATAAAGTGCTAAACTAAGAAGCTTTTCACATTTGTTGAACTATAATGAAGTAGAACCCTAATAAGCATATTTTTGGAGAAGAAATCTAAGTAAACATTCAGAAGGTATACAACACTTGCAAGGGTCAAGCATCTGTCAAGCACTGGGAGTTAATACTAATCAATGCCCTAACATTATTAAGTCACCTCCAAGTCAAGTGATACTCGGGATGAAAAGAAGAGAAAAATGTTCTTTCTTTATTATTAAAGTTTGGATGAATCATCTTGGTCATTTCTTCACCATCTTGAACAAAGACAAAGCTGTATTACTAGTAACAAGATCAATCTACAAGGCCCAGAGGAAAACCGTCAAAGTAGTGGCTACTGATGGGCTTCCACTGATGACAACATCAGTAAATAAACAAAACAGTCAACACAGTACCTAAAGACATTTCATTCATTTCCCCAAAGATATTTTATTTGAATTATACTAATTTCCTTCCAATTAATTTCTCATTAGCAATATTAATTTCACAATGATCCAAATGACAATTCCCATTACCTAGCATCTCTGAATAGAAGATCAATGATCTCTAGGAGCCACATTTAACTAATCCTCTTTCTCAGAGAGGAAAATCTGTGAAAGCTGGAACCTGTGTGAGGCTGAAATTTATCAGAAAATACAAATTCAAGAATTCTATCCCAAAGGAGGGCAAGAGTCAGAAAAACAAGGCCGTTGTGTTGCATTACAGCTTCCATAGTTTCACAGTACTTTAAAGAACATAGTTGATGGCAAGGGTTAGCGTCTCATCTATGACCAATGTGGGAGGAAAGGTGCTCGCCCGCCTCGTGGCCATGGAGCTGATGCTGGCCCATGGCTAGCCGCACAGGGTTCACCTAACAGGAAAAGCCTGCTCCTCTCCCACGAAGCAAACGAACAGACCTACACAATCTAAACCACCAGAGCTCCTTTCAGGCCTACCTCGTCATTGTTCAATTCAAGAACAATTACAACCATTCAGTGACACATACACTGAAGGCCAATGAGAAAAATCCATTCTGCCCTGAGAGAATTACAAGCATGAGATTATGAAACCCACACATGGTCTAATAAAAAAAATACTGGTCTGCACTGCAGGCCAGGCCAATGTGTGAATTGTTGGTCTTAACTCACAAATTGCTCACCTAACTTTAAAAAGAGATAATTAATACAGATTTATTAACATGTACACTGGATAGAGAAATGCAGGAAATTCACAAAGAGTTCAGAAGGATCAATGTCTGTCCAGAGCATACTGACGCCTCATGTAGGTCACAGGACTGAACACGAGGACCATTTCTGTGGCCTTCGAGAGGAGGACCTTGGTATAAACATGGAAACAGGCTGCTACTTTGCTTATACCTCATGGACATTCTTTTGTAGTGTTTTGGAAATACTCAGGGGAGGGGCGAATGGAATAGAAAAACTGTAAGCACACCACACTGAATAAAAACTCACAAGAACTAATCACATGGAATTTCAAGGTCATGATCATAATAAAGCCATTCATATGCCTGCCAGGAATTGTGAAAGCATTCGTAAGTAAATATACAAATGCCAGGTGCCATAAAAGACTATCTATTAGGAAGGTAACACCATACATTTGAAGACAAAACTGGGTAAATATTTGTATCACATATCACAGATGAGGACTCTGGTGGCTTAGAGGTTAATTCAGCTGCTGATAGACTAGCGGATCAAACCCACTAACCATGCCAAGTGTTAAAGATGAGGCAGTTTTCCTTTGTAAAGATTTATAGCCTTGGAAACCTTATGGGGCTGTTCTACACTGTCCAAGAGTTGGAACTGGTTTGACAGCAGTGGGTTAGTGGGTTTCAGGGACGGAGAGAATGACTAACAAAGTTCTGTAGCATGGAGGGTAAACAATTTTTCTAGGGGGCAGGTAGGTAACGACTAACAAAATTCAAAACCTCTATTCCTTGACCTGTCATTTTTACTTCAGGCATCTGTCCTATAATATAGTCACATCCCCACATTTATATTAAATGCCACCTGTATACTTGTTTTGAGTTTATTTTTAATGGAAAATAGGACAATACCTTGATATTTAAGAGATGATTGGTTATGGATGTATGCAAATTATGCGGCTAATAAAAAGATGGTAACTTTCTATGTACTGATACTGAATGGCCACCAGGATATATTAAATAAGCAGCAGAGTGCAGAACAATATAGTAAGTGTGCTTAAATCTGAGTGAAATTAAAACAATACTAAGACATCTAGTTAGAGTCTTTTTTTTTTCTCTTTTAATCTAGTTAGATTCTTAAGAGACAGAACACTTGTGGACAAAGAGACATGGATGACAAGATGAATTCTGAAATGGATTAAAAAAAAAGGAGTAATGGAAATAAAATTCATAGTCACTTATGTACCTCCAGAAAAAGATAAATATCGATCCAATTTAAGACTTTATTTTTAAAAATCTCTTATAGAAAAGTCTAAAATAAGCAAAATACATTCTTAGATCTTAAAATTTCACATAAGTATATGCAACTACTAACAATAACCTTTACTGATATACTAGAAACTGCTAACAAATCCCTCAAAAAGATGGAGTACTGGACTTCCAAAGTTGGCTTAGCATCTGTGAACACAGAAGACAGGCTTCGGGGTCTTTTCTGAAGAACGTGATACAGGGAACTACTGCTGTTACTAATTAATTAAGGTGGCTTCTTGAATGGAATACATTCACATTTACTTCCACCTCACGCTCAGTTTGAGTTTCCTAAATGTCAAATAGTGATATTCCTTTGTTCAAGAGGTGAGAGATGGTTTCATCATGTGGTAACTTACTGGTAAGTTATCTGATAAGACAGAAGGTACCAATGATTAACAAAGGAAAGACAATTATCATAGCTATAGTTTTTTCATGTAGAAAGATCCCTAGAGGGAGACAGGATAACTGAAATCTGTAGTGTTGGAATCATGCTGTCAATCTGCAAGTCTTCTATTTTTTATTTTAGAATTATCTAGTCAGTAGAGCGGGCTTGGATATTCTGATGGTAGCAATTTTTTGTCATCGACTTCTTTATAGATACATAAAGCTGTATTATGTATTATGAAACTAAACACTTGGGGAAATTAATGTTAAGTATTTTCCTTTTTATATATCTAAAGTATAAATATTTTTAAACATTTGCTGGCCACACTAGTTTTTCTCACTGTTAAATTATTTTTCATAACAGGAAATATATCCTTCATCATTTAAACGGAAAAGGATGGAGAGTAATTAAGTCTCCACCCAACAACTGCCCTCAACATCCCAGCAGCCTTTTTCACAGTTGTTATTATCTGTGTAGAAGCAAAAATTCCCCTTTTCTACAGGGTAGCCTTTAATAAGTTTCCTAACAAATAAAGGGAGCTCTGGCGGCCTAGTGGCAAGAAGCTGCGCTGCAATTCCAAAGGCACAAGCGGCTGGAGGCCACCTGCTGCCTGGGGGAGAAGGATGGGCAATCTCCTCCCATGTGATTAACTGCTTCTGAAAACCCACTGGACGAATTTGTTATGGGTCAGTTCTGACTCTATGGTACACAACCACAACAACAAAAATAAAGACCATAGGAGGTCCTGCTTAAAAAAATTCCTCTAAACAGGGATTAATTTAACAGCAAAAAATAAGTCAAGATTTCATGGGAGCTGAGAGATCATCTCTTTATTTCCCACCTCTCCATTCCTACACAGTCTCTTGTCCCATACAGATTCTGACTATGACAGTGTGGTCATGGTGTCGCCAATATCAGAGGCATAGCAGGGGTTCACTTCTATCAAACATGGGAGGAAGCCTCCACTTCCTTTCTACCATTACAAAGAATCCATCTCAAATGCATTAGAGTCCTTGATCCAGTAATATTTTCAGAATTTTACTTTGCATGGTGGTGATTCTTTTTTTTTTTTTTGAGGGAGCAGAATTTAAAGGCAGAAGCAAGAGAAAAAGTGATCACTGAGAAAGCTTTTAGAGCTGCCACTAGAGTTGGGACACACACACACTCACATTTTCTCAGGGAACTAAAGACACAGTTTTCTATAAACATCACAAATAAGCCAAGGCCCCCCCCCCAAAAAAATAAACTAAAGAAGAAAAAACAAGGTACATGTAAAAGGGGGAAGATGACAGAATCAATTAGACACTAGGAAAAGTTCATTAATGCTTTGAAAAAGAACCAACAAATGAAAAACTAAGTGGAAAAATTCTAATTTTAAATCCCAAGAATAAAATTCATTCTTGAAAGAATCTGATTCTACATAAAACCTGATGATCAACAAAGAAAATGCAAAACAACGCAAAAAGCTCTTTGAATCTTATATAACACACAACCAATGTTCCCTTATTTTAAAA